GGGGGGGGAAATCGTATATTAATGTAAATCAACAAGAAGTAAAGGGAACACCCTAATCATCGTCGCTAAAAATAAGGAAATTAACAAGATGATAATACGCCGTAACACCTAAAGTATGTAGTGTGGATAAACCAATAGAAGCCGAGACGAATGGCTTCACTTCCCCGGAAGGGGGGTATGAACAAGTACAGGAAGGGAGTCTAGAAGTTAATATGAGTAGGAGGGTAGAAGAAGAATAATACAAACTATGTGGGCAGGGGCAGAGAATAGAAGACACGTGCCTAATTAGCAAATCATTAGATTTCAAAGCTCAAAGTAAGAATTAAATCAGACAGGAAACACTGCTCGCGCCCGAGTAAACGGTTAGGAGAAAGCTCAAATAATGGTAGAGTATCTGAGTTATACCCCAAAAAAATACGCCCGAGTCAGAAATAGTCGGTTATGTATGAGGACCCCCTAGAAGGAGAACTCAGAACCCAACAGCACCCCAATCCACTCAAGTGAAAAATAGGCAATGATGTTATCCGCTAAAAGAATGATCCCATTTTCAAGGGATGAGCTCAATTCCTTCTTAATATTATAACAAAGTGACCAACTCATAACAAAATATGATACACATTAGAAGAGAAATGGGGGCAGAAAGAGCAACTCTCCGGGAAAACTTAAGGAAGAAAGGCACCTGACTCTTATGAAGTTAAGGAATGGCAGAAAATAACAATTGCATAGAAGGAAAATCGGTGAGACCCAGGGGTCTTAAGGTGGGATCAACGAAGGAGTCGGTGGTCTGATGTCTAAGATTGAGATTAAAGGGAGTGATAGAACAAAAAGGGTTTAAGGGTTCCAATCTCTTCCTCTAGGAAGGAACAGATCCCCCCAAGGATGAAACAGTAACTCTAAAACAGCCTTAGGGTTAAAGTAGCAGATAAATCACTCCAATATCAAGCTGAACTAATACGATGGAGACCAACGCCTGGATGAATTTAGAGTTACGAATAGATATCTCTGGGGAGGATAAACTGCTTCACTAGATAGAAATAGGTAGCATAAAGGCTAGGGAGGGAGTTCATCAGGTATTCTGAAGGACAGGAGGACAAGTCCTTAAGAATAGGGCAGGATGAAGAGGATACAGAGCCGAGTGGGGATAAATAATAGGAGAATGAGCCACCTTTCGGATAGGCAGGAAAGCATAAGGCAGCGAATAAGATTAATAAGAAGGCCGCATGAAACAGAGAAAGCTAAATTTAGAAGCCAAGATAATAAATATAATCTCAAGGGAAGAGAATAGATTAATAAGGGAGAATGAAGAATTTGGATGAGGACAATGTATAAGAATCGAGGGCATACCGTTGAGCCAAGAGAGAAGTCCTTGAAAGGACAAAGAAGCGAAATTACAGGAGAGAAGTTGAAATAGAGTGAGATGAGGGAGTCAACAGGAGCAGATATCTGCATATATAGGAGAAGGCAGAGCGGGGCCCTGAGAGGAGTTCTTCTACCTAGCAAACACCAGAGGGGAATGATATCTTCCTAATAATTCCTCATTGGCCAAAGTTAATATTAAGAGCAGTGGCCTGAGCGTAATAGCAGATACAAGGAGGGAGCAGGCGGCTCAGTCTTTTTAGGGATGGATGCATTCTGTGAGGCGAGCAAGAAGTGATTCTGTCGAAGTATAGGGGGGCCTTAGGAGAAGTGAGGCCACGCCAGGCCACAAGTCAACTAAGAAGCCCCCGAACAGGAGTATCAGATGCAGGATACAGTTAATCCTCCAGACCATAGTTAAGGGAAGGTACCGGCGATGGGGAAAAAAATAGGAATCCCTGAGAGGATGAGGGACCAACAGATAGAGTCCCTTGGGGGAAGGCGGAATTTCCCGAAAGGAGAGGGGGGGTATAGGTTACAGTACTGAAGAGTGAGGCCGAGATAAATCACATCACGAGAGGCAGGAGCAAATAGAGTAAGGAAACCAGGAAGATCTCTGAGTATATAGCGACTAATGACAGGCAAGAATACCTGCCTGCAGAGAGGACGAGACTTCGGAGGTGAACTGCACTAATGTGGGAACTCATCAGTAGGGAAGAGAATACGAAAATAGGGAATAAAGGAGCGTTAAGTAGTCACCAAAACCTCATCGAAGTCTGGGCAAGTGATTCAGGGTGCGGTAAAGAGGCGAAGAAGCAGACGGCGGAGTATCCGTGAATTTAGCTGAAAGACATTATAAAGCACATTAGGTAGCAGATTGAATAGAGCCCTCGCGAAGGATAGGGTAAGACAAGGAAACAAAAGGGACGCAGCCTCAGGACTTCCTGAAAGAATTAGCGAAGTTTATCGCGCCCATAGGAGCAGAGGAGGAAGATACCCAAAGGGGGAAGATCAGGTATGAGTATCGGACGCACGTTTTAACTCCCAACAGAGAAACCAGGGGGAAGGGGCCAAGGATCTGAATAGAGATTGAGTCTAAGTAATAGAATAGCGCAAATGCAATGGAGAGGAGACCGAAGTGAATGAGGGAGGAGAGGAAGGACGGACTCAGAGATCGGAGGGAGGATCCGTAGGAAATCGTGGCAACCAGATAGGAGGGCACGATGATAGAGACAAGCAAGGAGGAGTAAGAAAGCAGGAGGAGTGAAGCAGGGGGAGGATAAAGGAGGGAGCTATCTTCCAGTGGAGCAAAGGAAGCGGAAGATCAGGGACCACACCGTGAGAAGAGATTGCATTAATGAAGATATAAAGATGCCAGAGGGTCAGGAGAACAACCCTCCAGAGGGATACATCTCAGCAAAACGCAGCCACCATGGGGCCCCCACTCCCGCAGAATCAGGCACGTTATGATAATACAAGGTTTAAAGCCCAGTGCCAAATTGAAGAAGAGGAAATTTCAGAGCCAGTGAGCAAGAAAACGAACACAAGCGTGAGGGAAGATATAGATACCAAGGCTGAAGAAATAATCGGATAGGACAAATCAGTGCACCAGAATGACGTCCTCTATATTAGCAGGGCAGATGAGAAAAATAAGACAGGAAGCCCCCAAATGGCAAAGTTGCGACAGGGAGGGGAAAGTCTCTGAGAGTTTATGTGCCCTGGTGAACGACAGGGGTGGAAAACTAAGGACAAGCGAGTGGAAGTATTCCAAGCACCCCCAAGACTGGGATAGATTTCTAGCGCCTTATATTGCAACCATGAGCAAAAGTATCTGCATTTCCATGGAGCTATGGATAAGTACCTTAAATTGGGACCCAAGCTCGGGCCAGAAGATATTAAAAGGGAACTGCGGATATTCTGAGTTCAAGCAAAAAATGAGGAATTTTAATCAGGGGAAAACCTGTGGACTTGATAAAAACAAGTCTAGTTGGATAGATTTAATAGGAACAGGGGAATTATATCTGAACCAGGACAATCAGATGGAATTACAAATATGCATGGAATTGGTTAGGCTGATAATAGGGGCCTTAAACATTAGCAGAGGCCCCACCACATCTGGCGTAATAGTGGGGAAGACAGAAGATTTATGTCAGGAAGTATACCGGCGTCTGCGCGAGTGGGGGGGGAAAGAGTTGGCCATGGAAATAATGGGGGCTTGGTTTACAACCAGCAAATGGCCGAAGGATGACAGCGGGAGAATAGGGATTGAGGGGACAGATATATTTGAGATGATAACTGAGGAAATAATGGGAGCCCATGCTGGGATGAAGGAGCTCGTTTGTGATTATATACAGGAAGAACCCGAAAAGGCAGAAGTAGATTGGGTCCCCTTCCAAAACGCGATATCGGAGGATACCAAAGGAGTCTCCGAAATCGAGGAAATAGAAATAACCCCCGATCAAATAAGGGACAAGGAGGAACAGCTGCAACAGATGATAAGGAACATTAAACAGGCCCAAGCCCAGGACAGGGAAGTCAGAGCGGAGATGGTGAAGCTACTGGTGGAGCGGAGGGAGAAACCCGAGTCCCTGCGATAATAGGGGGAACTATCGTGACACTATTAATGGGCTCGTTGAGTATATATGGATTAAATAAGATTTACCGTCGATCCTCACTTGAGAGGCAGAAGAGGCATTCAGGGGAGCGGAGCAGAAGAAAGATATTCTATAGTTCCAGATCAGATACCCAATAATAACCAGAATTCTTGTAGGAACTAAAACATGGACAGGAGGAAGTGCCCCCCAGACCAGACGCTACAGAGTGAGCCCTGCCAAGCCAGGACCCAACACCCGATCTATGCCGGGGCAGTTCATTTACAACATATACTCCAGAACCTTTGAGAGGGAGGGGGGGCACTTATGAGGGGCTCCCCGGTATAGACGCCTTATTCCCCGAAACAGGAGAAACACGCATTCGACCGGGTGTTGGCAGTAGGAATCAGCCACCTAGGGGGATGCCTCCGTGTAGCCAGCGCCTGCAAGCCTGTAGTTGACTGTGGGAGTGGGCTGCTGCTATGAAGTTCATCGTCCGGGGCACAGGGGATCTGAAGGAGGGAGCAGAGGAGAGATTCAGGAGTCCATTCTGGTGGGGAGGGGAGAACTGGGAAAGGCGACATAGGGAACGGGGAACCACCGCGACGCCGGAGGGGGGGATCTGGCTTAAGGCGGGACACCTAAGAAAATGGGCGTGAGTTCATAATTCTACGCAGGTGCGGGGTCTGGGGTGTACTTAGTACGTGGGGAATTCACATTTTGGGGGAAGCCTTCTACAGTTCAGTCGGGGGGGGATGGATTGGAGTTGTTGGATTAGGAGTGGGAATCCCCGGATCTGGGATTCAGGTGTACGGTCTGGGACTTGAAATTCAGCGTCTGGTTTTAATCTGTTGAGACTCGGGGGTCCCGTTTTAGGGTTCAGGTTTGGTTTAAGGTTCAGGGCTTAGGGTAATGGATGCGCGGTTGATGTTTTAGGTTTAGGTTTACGGTGCGTGGTTTAGGTTCCGGGTCCAACCATTCGAGGTATGGGTCTCATGGCTCAGTCTTAGTCTCGAAGATTCAGGTGTTATTGTTTAGGAATTAGCCTTTACGGTTCACGGTCCTAGGTCCTAGGTTGAGGCTTAGGCTTCAGGGTTTAGGGTCCGTGTTTGAGGTTTAGGTTTTAGGTTTTCGGCCTCACCGTCTGGGTCCTAGGAGGCAGAGGTTCGGGCTCATGTCGTAGACTTCTGACGGGGGCACTATAATTTAGCCCCCTAGGATTCAGCGTTTAATGTATACCGTTGATGGTTTGCTGTTTAATTATCATATTTTTTCGTCGATGTCCATCGACACGGCTTCAGTACATGTTGCGATTCCGCCTTATCCTTTATGTTTTCCTATTGGATTCTTCTCCACCGGCTTCTCCATCCCTCCTGTTGGCTACCGTTTTCCTGTTTCCTTATTGACCTTTCTGCACTTTTGGATATAATGCCTCAGGCGCTACATCTCAGGTATTCGCGGGGGGTGTTAGGCTGCTATTTGGGGGATTGTTTGATGTTATTGAGATTCTCAGACTTAGGTGATATATTCTTTCCGTCTCTTAGATACTCTTAAATTTAATCTGTAGTTGGTTGGGCTTAGGTTTTGGTGATAGTTGTTGTTCTATGGTATTAGCCTACTGGGGTTCGGTTTTTGGATTTATCCTTTAAGATTTACACTGTGGGAGTTTTCTCTAGCAGAGTGGCTCTTGTTTTCTACTTTGGGATTCGCAGATCTTATAGTTCTTGGATGTAGGGCGTAGTGTCCAAGGGGTAGTGTCTGTGATTTAATATTTAGGTGTTACCCCTGAAGGTTTATCCCAGAGGTTTCATTGGTTACTCCTCAGGTTTCACTTCTACACGTCCTACTTGTTAGCTGCCTATATTTCCAAATAGAGTGACTATAAAAGTGTTTCACTTACTGCTAATATGGGTAGCATGCCAGGATCCTATGCCCCTTGATTTTTGGTTTAGTACCCTCTCTTTAAGGCCAGTTGTCTGGGTTCATACTTGGAGGTGTAGGTAGTGCATCTTATTATTCATCCCTCTGTAACTTGGCTTCTACGGACGACTTCCCCTGGGCTGATTTCCTGGCTTCAGCGTGATGATTCATGTTTTCTCCTCGTTTCATCGGTTGGGTGTTATTTGGTGGCGTCGTCCCTTAGCACTCGATTTCATATGGTATGACTTAATGGCGAGGAATCTGTTTGTTCGATTTAGATTTTGTCCCCAAGCATGGAAGTTTAGTCTTTAGGGCTGTGGTTTCCTGGTTTTAAAGAAGCACCTTTATTTTATAGGTTGGGGGACTCATTTTTAGGTGAGGTGCTTTCTGTAGTCCGTAGGGTTCCTGTTTATAGCTATCGAGTTTAGGTTTAGGTTTTAGGGAGGATCCCAAGCATTAGGCTCCGGACTCTTTTGTTACTTCTGCTTAGTGTTGCATTATTCTGTATTCTTCACTATTAGCTGCTAAGGGTTCCTTTCCTTTTTTCTACTTGTCAGGCGCAACTTATAATTTCTCTCCTCCTACTTCCCAGGCTGCTTGGTCTAAGCCTTATTACCTCGAGACTCCTTCTTCCTATTTGGACTCAATCTCTTAGGGGTTCGCCTCCAAGTTCCACGCCTGATGCGCACCTCTATGCCTCATCTTCATGGTGCTAGACTATTGCGTTAATTTCAGAGTTTAATCTCTATGACCCCTCTGCTCATGCTTCTGTGTGTATATTTTTCCGTTATTGCCCTTCCTCTTATTGTTAACTTTTTAGCTTCCATTGCCTATGCTATATTTCTTAGCCCAAAATGATTAAGTTTCCAATTTTGGATTTATGCTTTGGAGTCTGAGCCCTGCTCTTTCTGTTTCAATTCCTGGCCCTTAACCTGTATGGGGCGTCAGGTAGGGCCTAAGGCTCAGTGATGCTGAAGTAAGTTGCATGCTACATGCACTGTTAGGCACCTGCAATGCTTATGCGTCGAGACTGGAAATGTATATCGCAGAAGTAGGTTTTTGGTCCCTGCACATTTTCCTTATTATATGGATTCTGTCTCGTACTGATTAAGCTCTGCTGTCGGCCTGCTGTTCGAGGTGCTAGGTTCTTCCCATTATTGCTTATGCCTGCTCTCCCCCCGTTACGCTCTTCTTTGGCTTAGGTTTCTGTAATTTTGTGGGATGTAATTCTATGGAGTTCTGTTAAACAGTACATTTCTCTCTATATATTTTACCTGTACTCCTTGGTTTTTACCCTTCAATTTTACGCATTTTGGTTGCAGGGTTTAAGCACCTATCCCATTTGGGTTTTACTCAGGCATTGTGCTGTTGGCTTATGGAGGTGCTGTTTCTTGTCAAGTTCTATTGTTCACTCTGTATTCTTTAATATTTAGGAGTAAGGCTCTATTTTTTATCCCCCCGGTTCCACTCTTGAATGTAGTGGTCAGGCTCCATCTTCTATGTTTACGGGTCCAGGTTGTTGTGTATGGACGGGTGGTTGTTGTTACTTTTTAGCGTTTATTAGTATTGTCCGATCAGTTATTTTAGGCGGGTAAGATTCACTGCTTATGCGCCTTCTGTACTGTGATCATCCTTAGGTTTTTGGGACTTACTGTGTTGGGTTTCGTTGTATGTTTTGGGCCCAGTGCTGCATATTTCATGGCTCAGCGGCCACGGTTTATCAGTGAGGTCTGTGGCTTATCGTGTGCTGGCACCCTCTAGTCTTTATTCCTACGGTTAATTCTTTACATATGTCTCTTTATTTCAGCTGCTTGTTTTTATTCCTTATCACCTTAACTTTAGCATTCTCTGCCATATCTGGACGGTGTACGGCTCAGATTTCATGGTTGCGCATTCAGCTTTACTGTGTACGGCTGAGCGGATACCTTTAGCGTTTACTGCTCTCTGAGGAAGTGTAGGGTGGTTCTTGCATGCATTAGTTTTACGGTCTACACTAGTTGTGTACTATGCAGCGCTCAGATGTATGTGCTATGGTTCATGCTTCAAGGTGTTTTGGTGTATTTGGTCCTATTATTCTTCAGGGTATCTCCCTGAATGTTTTTGCGTCAACCATCATGTTTAGTTTCCACAGGTATGAATTTGGGGCGACATCCTGTATTGCTTCTTCTTTACTTCTTATGGTCTGATATGTTCTGTATTAATTGGTTTCCAACGTCGAGTCCTGGTGTGGTATGATTTATTGTGCATGGTTTATGGTTAAATGCTTATCCCTCCTGTTTCCGGCTTTGTGATCACCCTCTAAAGTCTATTCCTTACGGTTAACCATTTAAGGCTGTTCGCTCCGGATTCACAATCTGGAGTTTAAGCAGCCCCTCAAAAACATCATGGCCCACTCCGTCTCCCCATGTGGTGCCCGTTCCCCTTGGATTTACTTTATTATTTCCTTCTTTCTGTGCTAATGGGGCGCTCCTTGCTTGTGTTTAAGGCGCTTTCTCGTACTTTCTCTTCATGGTTTCTTCTGAGTTGTCTGGGAAGATAGAATAAGAGATATATTCGTAGATTCTTCATTATTCTTCCCATATTCAACATATTTTAAGCGTGTTAATCTAAAGATACGGAACAGTCAATGTTCAGACTCTGTACGTCTCCTTTATTGAGATATATACAGAGGGACAACAGTCTTACTGATCTAGTGCTATTTCCTTGGGTGTTTTATTCTCATCCCTTTCCCATAGGATATATTGGGAAAATCCGTGAGTTATACATGCAGCGATGACGCGCTGAATTATAGAGCACATATTCATCTATATTAATGTTAATCTATACTGTTGTAAGATCTGTTGCCCAGGAGTTCTCTCTCATATTCAAATGTGTATCTTCCTGTTCGTGTATGTCACTACTGAATTCCTCTTAATAATATGGATAGTATGGGAGGGGTACACAACACGTTTGTTGCTTCACGATTCTTTGAATGCTCTTATTGAAATGTTTCAACACATGTTGAATGACTTGTATTTATCACTTGACTCCCTGGTTCTACAAGAAACTGGTACATATGACTCTGGAGTACAGGCGATTATAGGCGA